ACTTGGTACAGAACACTTACAGTTTTATTTATTTAGCGTGTTTTATTTTTAAGAATGTGGCAAAGTAAAACTTACTCCGAATTGACAAACGATAAACCAAAATGGCGTTATACGAACCTATGATCAATCATTTTAGAATTAAATAAATCAGCTACAATTACATTTAGATAATTTGTAGCATGTCTTAAAGCCTTTTCTAAACTTAATACAACAAAAGGTTAGTGATTTCCTTGCTAAATTAAAAAAATATACAATAAGCAAAATTTTATTAAAAAATTACTAAAGTTAGCAAGAATTATTACAATTTTTCTTATCCAACTACCAATCTCCTATACATATTTTTTAATTTGCAATAACCATGTATAGAAACGCTAATAATTTTTTTTATAATTGTGTGATGATGATGATAGTTTATTGTTATTATTTATTTATTTTTTATTTATTTTTTCAAATGTGCATTAAACTACTTTTATTAATTTTCATTGTTAATTTATTAAAGCTTAGAAGTAAGCTTTAATAAATTAACTTATTTTACTTTTTTTTTTTTGCATTTTGAAATTAGTAACTAAATAGTTTAGTGTACACAGACAGATAAATTTAACAATTATGTTGTGACCCTAAAAGAAGTGAAAAAAGATAATATCAACTATCGTAAGACTTTGGCCAATTTTTTTTTCTTTTTTTTTTTTTTTTTTTTTTTTTTTTTTTTTTTTTTTTTTTTTTTTTACAACTACAAAGTATTTACAAGTATATACTATATACAAGTATACAAAGTATTACTAGTATACAAAGATATACTAACATAAATATCATAAATATAAAGTTCGAAATATACAAAGTAAACAAAAATATAGTTGTATACAACTCCGAGGCACGATTCAAATAAACACCAATTGCAACAATGTATTATGTGTACATTAATATATTCCGATAAATTTATCTCTATATTATTCCAGTTAAAATAAAAATATACAATAAATAAAAATAAATTAGCTGATTTTTCGGAGAAGTGTTTAGATGTTTGACTTATTAGTTTATTTACCACATTTCAAACTAATGTTTGTGTATAAATATGATAAACAAATTTGTGTAAGATTGATAAGAAGAATTACTTGTTAATAGTTATAGGAAGCTCGCAGAAGACTTAAGTTAGTCTTGTTATCGAGTATCTTTTTCTGGGCGTGTAATGCACATAAAAATCAGTTGCGTACGTGGTATATATGTATGTTGTACATATATACCTTGTTATTAATATTATTACTTTTTATTATCGATTTGTATTAAAAGTTAAGCTACATTTTTTTGACTTTTTTTGTTAATATTTAAAAAATTTTCCGTATACTTGTTTAATTAGATTATAGCTTTATTTTCAGAGAGTGTTTGCTGTTTTGGTTTAATGGTAATTTGTTTCTGGAAACTAATTTGTTAAATAAATAGGGACCACGATATGTAACTGAGAACTTTGAGAGTTTTGTTGTTTCAAACGGTGTCTTAAATTTGCCTGTTGCTCTTGTATTGTATTTATTTATATTGTTTTTAAAAAATTGTGCTGTAAAATGTTCTGGAAACAAATTTAGTTTATATTTAAAAAGGAGAAGAAAAATTTTGAAAAATATTTATTTGAAATATATTTAGTGCGTTCATTTGTTCTAATAAGGGTGGAGCATGAGCAAATTTATTTTTGTTGTATACTAGTCTTGAAGCGTGTTTTTGACGTATACGTCAAAAACCACTTTACATATAGGTAAAGTCGTTCTAAATTAGATTTGTGGGTACTGGCCCATGCTATATTGGCTTACATTAGGTAGCTTTGTATAAATAAAAAGTAGACAAGTTTTAGACTTTTTTGTAACAAAAATGGCCCAGCAAGCACAACCAACGTTGAAACAACGTTGAAAAACCGTTTAATTTTATGGTTAAAAAATGGTTGATTTTTGGTTGAAATGGAAACACAAATCAACGTTAAAAAAAACAACGTTAGATCAACGTTGAAAACAAACTAAAAATCAACGTTAGATTAACGTTGATCTAACATTGATTCAACTAACTTATATACGTGTTCATAAACCTCAAAAATACAGCTTTTTGCGCTGTCACTTTTTTAATTCAAAAAAACATTTATTTTTTGTACAATATTATGTTGTTATGAAAAGAAACAGTAACTCTTCATAAACTTATAATAGCTGTCACAATAAAATATCTTATGCTATTGTACTGCTCGTCTTGTTCTCAATTTCTACAGCTTTTACTTATTATTATTATTAGTATTATTAGTTTATTTTATATTATAATACTAACTGATGTTATATTATTACGAACAATCTGCCCTGTACCATTTTTTTAACACAAATAACTGATTTATAGAAATTGAAAAGCAATTATTGTAGCAAATAAAACCAAAAAAATAATTTATACATTTTTAGAACAAAAACTTTTACAAAAGTCAAGTTATTTTCAAAACAATCTTGATGAAATCATGATATCGTTATCTTCATAACCAATATTAAATTCATATGTATTTTTAATGTCTTCTGTTATTAGACTCATTTTGATTTGATGCATATATTGCCAGGATCCAATCAATATGGTGCAACCTTCAAATAGTCTTAATTCTATCTTTGTGCATTGTTTCTTTTTATTTAAGAACATCAGGTAACTGCATTTAAATAAAAATATCTTTAAAGTAAGGTACATTTGTACATTTTACAAGTATTATTATACTTCACATTTTTCACAAGCAAATGTGAACATTAAGTGATCAATAGTAGGAAAAAACAACAACACATTACTGATACGTGCCTAATTTTCTTCATTATTGACCAAGATATTAAACTATTTG